TTTTTTTTTTTTTTTTTTTTTGGATAAGTTCCTGAAAAAGAGAAACACTAAGATCAAAGGATAAAAATAGGCCAGAGGTGGTGGAAAATATTCGTCCAGATGTTTCCCTTCCCAACTGTGGTTCAGACAATTTGATGATCATGAACAAACATCAACTCCTTGTACAAAGGCACCACTGTTAAGATACTCACTGTATTTGTATGCATAAGATTTGTAGTAATAGAGGTCTTATATTATGCTTAGATCATATCAGCTTAAATCCTATCAGAAATCACAAGTATGTTTCCAACATGTGGAGGATATGCCAGTCAGATGTAAAAGCAGTTTTATCACATGTTGCCCTATTTAAGTGTGCTTGTGACCTGTTTTCCAACAAAAATGCTATAAAAGGATCATTCAACTAATATTAATTTTCTTCAGCTCCACATTTATCTAACACAGTTTTCTTACAAGGCTTAGTATCACAATTTTTATTTAATTGTCAACTCCTAATTCAAAATGCATCCACGAAATCGGAGGCCCATCCTGTTTGAAAACAACAATTCTTGCTAACATAATGTTTTAACAATAATCTTTGACACGAAGACATCACCTTCCACAGCATGCAGGCACAAGAAGGATGTCCCCATTCCCTATTTTATCAGAGTTTGTTTTCGCATTAAATGAGGATGATAGAGGCAAAGATTCCCATATTTGACTTTCTGGAGTACAAAAACGTGCCTCCTTAAGTACTTGGCACCCATCGACATAGCATCTTGTCCAACTTTGAGGCAACTTGATGGTTAACATGTCTGACAACCTTTGTTTCCATGTTCCACAACCCAAATGAGAAACCATGATCATCCCTGATCTGGAGAAATTGCTTCCAGTTTCGTGGACCCCGGTGGCACGATTAACAAAATAATCTTCATCCCAGTTAGGGCACCTCATAACTCCCAAGACAATCTGTCCTTCAACCACAAGAGCCAAATCCACCTGACAACAAAGCTTAGCCAAATAAGTTGAAGAAACAGTAAGAGGTATAATCTCAATTCAAGCAACTGACAAATCCTAGAAGAACATGCAATAATTGAAAGCTATGTAATCGTGTATATAATGTAGGACTCTTTAGTTACAAAGACTTCTTGTTTGGAGGAACATTAATTACCTTAACCTGAAACATCACGCTATCAGAGAAAGCAGAATGAAACCAAAGAGGATGAGGGGATACCAAAAGGAATAGTCTGATGTGAATGAGACTTAAGATTAACAGTACCACACTTCTAGTGTTATTCCAAAATAAAGGTTTTCCCCGTGTAACATCATTCCTCAGTCCTTTTTGGATTGATCTGAATTCTTGCCAGTTTGATGGGTAGAAGAGAACTTACTGAAAGTGATGGAACTATTAGCACCCAACCTATAGAGTATTTGATTGAAAATTAGTAGACTGCTGGTAATAGATGAACTACAAGCGTAATACATCAAAACCTTATAGTGAATAGGATAGTAAATGATCTGCATCTTTCAGGATTTTTCCCTCTCAAGTGAAAAGTCACCTATTATGTGTCTACAACAAACAAGGAAATATCATGATGAACCGCTATTAATAAGAACATAAGACACTTCTTTATTTTTTACTTCACCAACATTTCTCACGAGATTAAATGCCAAATCGATTAACCTATTCTTCATTTTTTCTGCACATATCATATTTTGCAGGGTTACAAGATTAAGGGCATGTTGTATCACTAATGTGAAATTGCCAACCAAAGACCAACTTGAAAATCTGTACACCTCATAACTTTGAGGATCACTGTAACAGCTGCTATCTGAATTAACATTTGCGCTTCATAATACATAGGTTCCATACGATTAAAATCACTTTTNAATCAATTTTCCCATCCATGTTATTATTGCATTTTCTACTGATGCTTCTATATTATCACCAGCAATATCATCTATTTCGCATGGAAAGGTGATAGCTCAAATTCTCATCATTATATTATCATCCTCAAGAAAGCTTGACCAAATCAAGGTTTCTGCTGCAACAAATCTGAACTTAACTGACTATAGAGCAAAACCAGTTGGAGTGATTATACAAGTATAAAGAGCAGATTTCCTGACCCACTGACAGCTGAAGGCTAGTATTGGTGCTCCACGAGGGATTGAGGAAGATGCATAAAGCTGTTAATATTTAAACAATACTGCTAATTCCTTGAAAGTTCATTGGATCTAATTGGCTTACTCAGAAAATCGTGTCTCTCAACCTCAACAAGACAAGAAATAATGGCCAATGAGCACAATGGGCAAAAGGAAGAGACTGATTTGGAGATAATCCCACACGACTATTACCCGCTACCTTTAGCCATTGCCATGGAAAACAACCTCACATGTCAAGCTGTTCTCTTCATTGAAATTCTTCTCCTCCTTGTTTTTATGTTGGTTGGGAAGTAAAAAGAACATATTAAAGACGCTAAAGAAAGAATAGTAAGAGAAAAATAGAGATTAAGGACATACCACATAGAGAGCTTCAACACCTTTAACAAACCCTCGTGTCCCATCAATGGGATCTAGTACCTGTACCAGGTCCATGAAATTATACAAAATAGTCCAGAACCTCGTGATAGTAAAATGCAATCATAAATTCAGGTTCTGTTACATTTCATTAGTACGGAAGCTAAGATGTCAAATTTCTTCTTGAGCATAAAAAAATCATCCGGAGTATAGACACCATCAGACTAGAAAAAGCACTTTCCACATCAAATTAATTGAACTATAAGTCTTTAATATCTTAGTGTACGAATATTAGCAAAGAACTGTTGGCATTTGTGCATGGAAATACAGGACATTATCTGGTATCTGAGAATTAAAAGGAGGCAGTATATATCACGAAATAGGACTATCAAAGGCCATGTAAATCTTCTGCTTCCTTCCTCTGGACAGCATGATAGCTGTTTATTGGGACAGTGTGATACTTGTTTTTCCTTGTCATAGAAGCAAAAGTATATCTATTTTGCCTTTCAATGACTTCTCAAATATTAAAAAGATACCACCAGCTAAATGTACATGTCAGAAAAACAAAATGAAAAGGTGTATCCCCCAAAGTGAAATTAGAAAATCTGTTGTTCCCGTTCCCAGGAATTCCCCCCCTTAATGTAAAGGTTTCAGAGAGATGAAGATTTTATCCGTGAAAGTTAGTGAATACTGCTCTAAAGTCGATCTCAACTTACCCAGTATGTGGCTGGCTTTGGCCCAAAAGTACAGGCATCCTTTCCCCCTTTGTCAATTGCTTTCAAGACACTATCTTCTGTTACTTCATCTCTGAGAGTTGCTTTATTCACAATCACATCAACCACTGATCCGACTAGATTAGTTGACCTCAAGAATGATGAATCCTCTTCAGCCACCAAAGGAATGGAAGGGAAGAGTCTGTTCATCTCTATCAGAATAGGATGTGATAGAGTAAGAGAAACAATTCAGCTCTGTTCCAAGAGAATAAAGAGAGAGTCAGAAGGGAAAGAAGACAGTGTCCATCATGTCTGATCATTGTTAAACAATTTGATAGCTGATTAGGTACATTTTCATGTAACAAGAAAAATGCATTCCATGGGTATTTATTGCTTTGGCTCAAAGTAAAGTGTTCATGTCTTCCTCAATAGATTATTGGCGGTTGCTTTGGATGTTATAGCAGAACGTTGGACAATTAGAGGGAGGTACCATTACAGTATCAATCTAGCATACAACCTTATTTACTCTATGAAGCAGAAAGCAACTTGAAGAACATGTAATAGGTGGACGGACATTCGTAATAGAGGAAAAGCATGTGGTAAGACAAATCAAACCTCCAACATGCTTGGTGTCTTTTCCGCTTCCCAATTTTATAAAGTATTGTTGGAAACTGCAACACTTTCAATTCAATAATCAAGGAAAAACTAAAGAAGGTTTCAAGAAAAGCAAATTGAGTTACTGAAGCTAACCAAAGCCTGCACGCCGAAATCTGCAATAGTGACTGGGGTTTGGTCATTTTTCTCAAGAATCCTATCATCATTGGAGAACAATGAGCTCTTCACCTACAACCATAAAAATTAAAAAACAGAACTTTTAATTGATAAAATGATAACATCACTTGACAGATTACTAATCCCCCGATTTTTTCGTTTAAGATATTTTTGGAGCTCAAAAGCATACAATAAAATTTCACCAGAACTAAATGACTGATGTTATCTCGTTAGAGAAAAGCTAACAACTTTTGTCTCCAAGATCTATAATCTTTTACATTGAGTACACCGTAAATATGTCACGTACCAAAATTGCAAGTACTAGATCAATACTTAAATATTGTAGAATAGCAGAGAGGAAGTTCATAATTTCAGGTGCAATAAGCATTAACAGTCTTTCTACATAGGTGTTCAAATGCAATTACAATAACATTAGCACGAAATATTCTCGCATTTGAAAGAGAAACTGGTGTTTTGCTGAAAACAAACTAAAATTGACTAGCAGCAGCATTTCTATCCAATTAACCAAATGCACCTCAAGATAATTAGTTAACTCAATCAGTTAATCAACCAATCAAACAACTAAAAGCCTTAGTCCCAAGCTAATTAAAGTCAACTGATGAATGTTCTATAACCAAATTTCGATACTAAACTATCAAAATATATGACTCTGGCTAAATAAAAAGAAATTTTACGTCAATGAAAAGACGACAAGCTCGCTCGACAACATCAACGGCAGCTTCCAGCTCTCTATAATATTTTGCTTTCTGCTCAGGGAATGGGAGGCTCAAACTCGACCTGCAAAAGGCAGAAACTGTACCCATTTAGGATCGGTTAAGACAAGTGAAGTAGCAGTGGCACGGCGCGGCGCGAGATAGGTATCAGCTGTGAGAGACCTCACGGCGGCGAAGCATGGGCGAAGTGGCGAACGCCGGAGATAAGTATTAGGGAAACGGACGGCGGAGCACCGGAGGAGATCCATCGAGGTACAATAACTGCTGCTAAAGGTACATGGTTTGTTGTGCTATGGACGGGTCAGCGGGAAGGGTAGGCTTCCAACGGTTGAAATTGGCAGAGGCTCTCCTGTTGAGTTCTTCGCACGTGCTCCCTCCGATTTATATTCTCATTTTATTTATATTTATTTATTTTGGCTTAAAAAAGCACTTAACTTATTAAACAATTTTAGTGTTTATTAAACATGAAAATAAAGGGATTTAAGTAAAAAAAAATTCAATTACTCGGACACAACACAGAAGAGGAGAAAGCAAAGGAGCTCAATTAGGTTCACAAAAGATGGTTTAATGGAAACCCAGAAATAGAGCAAAGTATACGATGAAAATCGACAGATCTTGAACCGGCAGAGCTACTTGAATACTACCTAAAGACTAATAAATCTTCATTGTTTATATATTTTTGGAGCAAATGAGCTCACACCGAGTGTTGAGACAAACGGAGATTGCTAAGTTTGAATTCAATTCAGTCTATTAAATCTTCATGTTTTCAAAGAGAATTATTCATCACCTTTACAAGTCTTCTCATTATCTTCGCCAGGTAAAACTTTTCTATATCTTTTCTTTCTTTTGCTACTTTTTTCTGTTTCAGTATTCTTTTCCTCCTTTTTCTTTTCAAACATTTTTCATTCTCCCTTCCAATTTGCAGGAAATTTGGCATTTTCAATATTGGAAACCATTTAGATTGAACAATTGTACATTTACTAGCTGTGCAAGTATAAATTTTTCAGATGAAGTTCTTGATGATTTTTCAGATGAAGAAAATGTATATTATCCATCTATTATTCATCCTCATATAGTAAAAGACAATGGCTATTTTGATCATACTTATTATCTAAGCCTACTAGATAGTTGCTTGAGTGAAGGGTCAATCATAGATGCCAAGAAACTACATGGGAAGTTGTTGAAATTGGGATTTGGTTCCGATTATAGGATGGGTGCTAGATTTCTTGATATTTATGTTGCTGGTGGAGACTTATCTAGTGCATTGCAAATATTTGATAATTTGCCAAGTGGGAGTAGAAATGTGTCTTGCTGGAACATATTATTGTCTGGTTTTACACGGGCGAAAAGAAATGATGCAGTTCTCACTCTGTTCTCTCGAATGTTAAGAGAATATGTTAATCCAGATGAGTGCACATTTTCCCAAGTTCTACAAGCCTGCAGTTATAACAAGGTTGCTTTTCATTTTCGGGGTGTTGAACAGGTTCATGCTTTGATTATGCACTATGGTCTTGGATTGGAGCTCGTTGTTTGTAACCGTTTGATTGATTTGTATTCTAAGAACGGATTAGTAGATTCTGCCAAACAAGTCTTTGAGGATATGGTGGTAAGAGATAGTTCTTCTTGGGTTGCCATGTTATCTGGTTTTTGTAAGAATGAACGAGGATAAGATGGTATTCTCCTATATAAGGATATGCGTAAATTTGGAGTTATTCCTACTCCATATATTTTCTCGAGTGTTATAAGTGCATCCACAAAGATAAAAGCTTTTGATTTGGGAGAACAGCTCCATGCTAGTATCTATAAATGGGGATTTTTATCTAATGTTTTTGTTGGTAATGCTCTTGTTACATTGTATTCTCGGTGTGGATACTTAACATTAGCAGAACAAGTATTTATTGAAATGCCGCAGAAAGATGGAGTTACCTATAATTCTCTAATCTCTGGTCTCTCTTTGAAAGGATTCAGTGATAAGGCTCTACAGTTATTCGAGAAAATGCAGTTAGGTTCGTTAAAACCCGATTGTGTTACAATTGCAAGCCTCTTGAGAGCCTGTGCATCGTTAGGAGCTCTTCAGAACGGAAGACAATTGCATTCCTACGCAACAAAGGCAGGTCTATGCTCAGATAGCATAATTGAAGGTTCTTTACTTGACCTTTATGTTAAGTGTTCTGACATTGAAACAGCCCATAAATTTTTCCTTGGAAGCCAGATGGAAAACATTGTTCTGTGAATGTGATGCTCGTGGCGCTATGGACAGATGGGTGATTTGGATGAATCATTCCAAATCTTTTCGCAGATGCAGATTAAAGGGCTACAACCTAATCAATACACATACCCCAGTATATTGAGAACTTGTACGTCTGTTGGTGCTCTGTATCTTGGAGAGCAAATACATAGCCAAGTATTAAAAATTGGCTTTTGGTAGAATGTTTATGTGTGTAGTGTGCTTATAGATATGTATGCCAAGCATGAAAAATTGGATGCAGCAGAGAAAATCTTTTGGCGTCTAAATGAGGAAAATGTTGTATCTTGGACATCCATGATTGCTGGATATGCTCAGCATGATTTGTTTGTTGAAGCTCTAATACTTTTTAGAAAAATGCAACACCATGGTATTCGATCAGATAACATAGGATTTGCAAGTGCAACTAGTGCATGTGCCGGCATTCAAGCACTCGATCAAGGGCGACAAATCCATGCCCAGTCAGTGGTGTCAGGCTACTCATTAGATCATTCAATAGGCAATGCATTGATTTTTCTTTATGCTAGATGCGTCACAATACAAGATGCATATGCAGCATTTAACAAAATTGATACCAAAGATATTATTTCGTGGAATGGCTTGGTATCAGGATTCGCCCAAAGTGGATTTTGCGAAGAAGCACTGAAAGTGTTTTCTAGATTGAATGGAGATGGAGTGGAAGCTAACATGTTCACATATGGATCTGCTATTAGTGCAGCTGCTAATACCGCCAATATTAAACAGGGGAAGCAGATTCATGCTAGAATAATAAAGACTGGTTATAATGCTGAAACAGAAGCTTCCAATGTCCTGATCACATTGTATGCAAAGTGTGGAAGCCTTGTGGATGCCAGGAAAGAGTTCCTTGAAATGCAAAATAAGAATGATGTGTCATGGAATGCCATGATAACTGGCTATTCTCAACATGGATGTGGTAATGAAGCCATAAAACTGTTTGAGGAGATGAGACATCTTGGTATGAAGCCGAACTTTGTTATAAAGCTATTTGGGTATTTTATCAGCCTGTAGCCATGTGGGTTTGGTGGACAAGGGGCTTTGTTATTTCAATTCGATGAGTAAAGATTTTGCTTTAATGCCAAAACTGTAACATTATGCGTCTGTTGTAGACATTTTAGGACGAGCTGGCCATTTGCAGCGTGCAATGAAGTTTGTGGAGACTATGCCAATAGAACCTGATGCAATGGTTTGGAGGACCCTCCTAAGTGCTTGCATAGTTCACAAGAACATGGAAATAGGGAAAGAGGCAGGTCACTATCTCTTAAAATTGGAGCCTCAAGACTCAGTAACTTATGTTTTGCTATCAAACCTGTATACAATTCTTGGAAGATGGGATTCCTGGAACCAGACAAGGCAGCTGATGAAAGACAGAGGTGTTAAGAAAGATCCAGGTCATAGCTGGATTGAAGTTAAAAACACCATCCATGCATTTTTTGTTGGAGATAGACTCCATCCACTAGCAAATCATATATATGACTTTGTGGAGGAACTAAATAAACGGGTAGTTATGATTGGTTATGTGCAAGACAATAATAGCCTTTGGAATGATTTGGAGTTGGGACAAAAAGATCCAACTGCTTATATTCACAGTGAAAAGTTAGCTATTGCATTTGGACTTCTAAGTTTGCCTGAAATGATTCCCGTACGAGTCATGAAGAATCTTCGCATCTGCAATGACTGCCACAACTGGATAAAGTGTATATCGAAGGTTGCAAATCGAGCCATTGTTGTACGTGATGCATACAGGTTTCATCATTTTGCAAATGGTGACTGTTCCTGCAATGATATTTGGTAATTGGAACTATTGAGGGCCCGCAGTGTGGTGAAGAGGGTTTTAGGTTCTAGAAGTTGGAGATGACATATTAAACTGCCAGTAATTTTGAGATTGATGCTCTGGACACCTGACCAATACCTCTCTGGATACCTTACCAATGGAGGTATTAACACTTTGCCTTGATGATATTTTTGTTATAACCTTGGTTTAAAAGTCAATTTATCTTCTGTCATTCAGGTCAACTATAGTCCTTAATATTGTCTTTTTTCACTTATCAAAAGTTCCCTATGACCTATATCGGTGCCCATTTTTGGTTCTAGAAGGTTTTAGGTTCTAGAAGTTGGAGATGACATATTAAACTGCCAGTATTTTTGAGATTGATGCTCTTGATATCTTACCAATACCTCTCTGGATACCTTACCGATAGAGGTATTAACACCTTACCTTGATCATATTTTTGTTATAACCTTAGTAAAAGCCAATTTATCTTTTGTAGTTCAGGTCAATTGTAGTCCTTAATATTCATGTCTCTTTTCACTTATCAAAAGTTCCCTATGACCTATATCTGCGCCCATTGTCTTCAGATCAGGTATTTCTACTGATCTTAAGTACAATGAATAAGCGCTCCCTTTTCCCCTTCAGGAAGCAGAATTACATTTAGGTGTTACTCTGTTATGTGAAAATGTAAAAAGAACGTCATGTTATCTTCTCGATAAACTCACTAGTACTCTGCAGTCATTTGTTATTAACTGTGAAGCATATATACTTGCTATGTAGATGCTGCATATACCAGACAATTAGAAGTTGAAACTTCTGGAGTATGTTAACTTGCGTCTCGTCCAATCAGTCAAGAGATGACTGGTTAGCTCAGATCTATAAACAAATCCCTAGTGATCAACAAAGGTTGTTTGCACTTCCTCTCTTTTGCTTGTAAGGGTGGTTCTGAGTGTTACCTTTATCATATATTCTGATGAATTTCAAATATGCTGGAATAAGGAATAGCACATGTGCATTTCTGACGTCTTCCGAAAATCATTCAGTTTTCTGCGGGAGGTCTAGTGCGATTGCTAGTCCGGTTATAGTTTACCTTGCTGATGATTTTTGCATGCATTGCTCATTTCATAGTGTGTGTGTCTTTTGTTTCCCCAGATGAACCTTGCAAGCAAATTTGAAGTTCTATCAAGACAAAAACACTAGCAAGTTTCACGTAGCTTTCAAGCTTCCAGGACAATCTAGTGGTAAGAGTGCACTACGTGATGTGTGGGTTAGGCGCACGTCAAGCGTTCGAATCCACTGCAGATAAAGGTTG